AGCGGCATGATAACGGTGAAGGAACTTCAAAGTCTGGTGGGCTTATTGAATTTTGCCAGCTTTGCGGTTCCTCGGGGAAGACTAAACCATCGAGCTTCCCTCAAGTTTCTAAATTCATTGCCCGAGCAGGCTACTCGGACAAAATACAACCTGCCGAGTCAGGTGATAGACGAAATACATTGGTGGCTTCAAAACTGCTATCTCGCTTCGCGGATACACATGCCTCCAGTAACACATTTTCTGGCCACCGATGCTTCAGATATAGCTTGGGGGGCTCAGATCGACAATATCAGATTAACTGGCGAGTGGACCCAAGAGGAAAGACACCTGCATTGCAATCAGAAAGAATTGCTGGCGATATACAAAGTTCTCGAGTTTCATGCGCCGAAAATGGCTCAGAGTTCAGTGTTAATCCAGTCCGACAATCGCACTGCAGTGGCGTATCTGCGCAACGAAGGCGGAACAAAATCCCAAGTGCTTATGGACTTGACACACAAAATTTTTCGGATCCTGGACATTTTTCAGATTTATCTGAAAATTCATTACATTCCCGGCAAGTTCAACAATCACGCGGATTGTCTATCTCGACACCGACGACCTCCGGAATGGCATTTACTGCCGATTTGTACCGAAATGATATTTACAAAGATGGGCATACCGGTGATCGACTTGTTTGCGTCCAAGACGGCTCGAGTAGTAGCCAATTATGCAACCCTGGATCTCAACGATCACGAAGCGATGTTTCACGATGCATTCAGCGTGACGTGGAACTTCCCACTCGCATGGGTCTTTCCGCCACCTTTTCTCATCCCCAAAGTATTGATGCATCTCAACCAGGCCACAGGAATGTATCTGATTGTAGTCCCTCGGTGGGAGAAGGTGTTTTGGAGAGCAGATCTCAAGTCACGGGCGATAGCAGCCCCGTTCATCTTGAGGAATCTGAGCCGGTTTCTGGTCGACATGACAACAGGGTTACCACCTCCCCAAGTTCAAGACATAACTCTCGAAATCTGGAAATGTGGGGGTGGGAAGAGAAAATAAAGTCGTGGAATTCAAATCAAATAGATTTACTTAAATCTTCCTGGCGACCTTCTACGTGGCGGACATATAAAGTTGCCTGGAATCGTTGGAAATTATGGGCTAATCAACATAATATAAGTCCAACACACCCTGAAGGGTCAGACTTGGCCCAGTTTCTATCAGATCTATTTTTAAAAGACAACTTTTCATATAACACTATTCTTCTACATAAGTCAGTGGTTTCCACGCTCTGTAATGCAGAGTTGTCTGGTAAATTAAGTGACGATATTTTGGTCAAACACATTCTAAAATCTATATCTTTAAAGAAGCCAAAAGTTTCAAAACCACCCATTTGGGACATAAACGTTCTGGCAGCATACCTGAACGATTACCCCGTAAATGATACAAATATTTTCCAAACTGTTCGACATACAGCGGCACTGTTAGCTCTGTGCTCAGGTCGCAGAATTCATGACCTTACACTTCTGAGTGTAGACGCAGAACATTGTATTTTACAAGATGATTTTATTATATTTTGGCCTCAGTTTGGTTCAAAAACAGACTGTAGTGAATTTAGGCAATCAGGGTGGAGACTGGTGAACAACCCACAAAATCAAAAGTTAAATCCTGTGTATTGGATCAATAAATGTATAGCGATCTTAAATGAAAGGCGCTGTAAATCTGGTACATCCAATTTGTTCATAACCCTACGTGGGTCACCTTCTCCGGCTTCCCGTACGGTGATAGCGGGGTGGNTGGGGTGGATTAAATCGTTTATGACTCAGGCTGGCATTACTGCCACCCCAGGAAGTGTACGCTCGGCCGTAGCTTCCAGTAACTGGATTAATAACTTTCCTCTCGATGATATTTTGGCTAGAGGAAATTGGAGATCGGTTAAAACCTTCCAAAATTACTATCGCCGAGAGGTGTTGGCAGGGCCGGATCGTGAATTTGTGGGGCCCTGGGCTGAAACTACTTGGGGGCCTATCTTAGTACCTACTCAACTAATAGCCATGTCAAAAAACCGGCCAAGTGCGAGTCGGACTCGCGCACCGAGGGTTCCGTACAAACCTGCAAGGTTTACAAAGTTCGTTTATTACGACAATCGAGTCATAACTATGGTATTTTTATTGCAAAATGAAATTCATAAGTTTATATTTATTAANGGTAACCGCGGCTGATCGTTCTACCGTCACTGATCTTTTCAATCCTGTGAATTAAATCAACTTGTAGTAATTGATTCATTATTTATTTTGGCAAAATGTAAAACAAATAAGTGCAAATACCTATCCAAATGTTATTTTTATTTACCATAAATTAACGGGAGTGTGAATTTATTATTGTATTTATTTTGTTTTGATGTAACTACATGCATAATGTGTTGTTATAATAAAGTATAACTCAATCAGATGCATATTTTATTTATTTTTCGCACACCTACAATTTGTTAATCAACTTTTCACCAGGCGATAACAAACAGGTCTCATTATAATTTAAGCTTCTAATAACGGTCAAGTGGTTTAATAGACGCGTTTTACCTGAAATAAAACGCATATTAAACTACTTACCTTATTAGAAGCTTAGTTTTTACCTCTGCCTGGTGATATTGTCGACCCAATGGCGAGCAGGGGCGCGCGGTCCGTTGCCTGCGCTGCCCCACCTCGGCTGGTGAAAAGGTAGGGATGTGCGAAAGGGATAGCGATATAGGGTAGAAAGAGACGCAAATACAACGGAAACGAATATGCCTATCTCATTATAATTTAAGCTTCTAATAAGGTAAGTAGTTTAATATGCGTTTTATTTCAGGTAAAACGCGTCTATTATCTTCCATCATACACAAGAATACGCGTGCGTGAGTCAATGTTCGCTCGTATGTGAGGCCTTGCCGAATAGTATCCTGTAGGTGGGCCATCGTGCGTGTTTTGTTATCGATGTAAACTCGCGGAGATGAACAGGCCTGGTTGAGGCTATAAATACAAGCAAATATATCACGCAGTCAGCGTATACAATACAACGTATACATCTTGCATAGTTGGACTGAAAAGTGCTTTCTGTTTCGCTTGCACACATTTAACAAGAGCGAGATAGCTTCCAGTAGGTGTTTAACTCAGTTAGTGCCTGAGGTATGGGAGCGGCATGGGAGGGATGACGTTGACATAATAACATTATGACGTGACAGAGCATATAAATCTGAAGAAGATCGGAAGTCTCGCTGACATTTGACGTTACAAAAAGCCCCATACCTTAGACATTGACGGAGTTGAGCACGAGACCTATAATAACTACAGTTGCCGCGAATACTCGCTATTATTCGGTATTCGGCATTACTCGACATTTTTTTGATAAATAAACTAAAAATAAACTTTAAAATAAACTTTTAGTGAACAAAAAAAACTAATGAGTTAAAAATAATCATTTTTTTATTATTTTCCCTAATAAAACAATACACAATATCAATTTATTATTTGTAATATGTACCTGTGCCTATCATATTCATGAAATTAAATTAGTTAGGCTTTTTAATTAATATTTAAAATCCAACAGAGGCAGATTGTGGTGCAAAAAAACATTTTTTTCTGNATCCGAACCTAAGTTAACCGAAAATGTTTTATTACCTACTGTTATTGTTTACGTTAAAACGGCTCACGGTAATTATGTTCCAGCTCGTGTTCTATTAGATTTCGGTTCTCAAATAACAATAATTCGGAGTGACTTTGCTAATTCATTGTGCTTGAAGCGACATTGCTGTTTAATTTCTATTTCGGGTGTAGGTGGTAATAATAAACTTAATAATCAAATGGTAGTATTGAATTTTAANTTTATCCTCGTAAATTAAACCTGCCTCGGAAAATAGTCTTTCTGAATAAACAGAGCTTGCTGGTGTGTTTAAGTATCGTTTAGCAAGCTTACTTATTAATATACAGGAAATCTATTCTTATTGGTACTCAAAGTTCACCATTTCATATTATGGGTTTCTTTTTCTGTCAGCCTTTGCTAATGCGATGTAGTGAGCGATTTCTTCAGCAGTGGCATTCTTGGGGTGCTCTTCAGTAGGTTGCTCTATAGATGATTCTTCAAAACATGCCCAAAATTTACTTCATATACAGGGTGGAATTTTGTAATGCCACCTGAAGGGAAAGTACTCTTCATACTGTAGATAGTAAATTTTATTCAAAGAAAACATTCCTTTATTTTTGAATAGAAATAGAACTGCATTCAAAGATTTTTTTAAATTTGCTTGCTACACTCGGGAATCGAACAAACTAAAATCTGTTAAAAATTACACCCTGTATTTTTATTGCATCGATCGTTAGGGTTAAGTATAAGGATGAAATCTCTCAAACAAACTTGATAAATCAAATGAAAGGATGGTGGTAAATTTTCGAAAAAAATTCGAAAATCTTTGAATGCAGTTCTCTTTCTTTTCAAAAATAAAGGAATGTCGTCTTTGAGTAAAATTTTCTATCTACAGTATTAAGGCCCGGTTTTTTGATTCGTAGTTAAATTAACCAATGGTCAAATTTGACAGATGTCAAATTTGACAGATGTCAAATGACAAGTGGTTAAATATCAGAAAAAAATGTTTTTCGAACAATGGTTAGCTTGACTTTTAGTACATTTTTTAACTATTTGTTTACATTTTGTTATTATTTAACCATTAGTAGCAAAATTTAACAATTAGTTATTTTAACTACGAATCAAAAAACTGGGCCTAAGGGTACTTTCCCTCCAGGTGGCATTACAAAATTCCACCCTGTATATGTAGGTATGTATAACATGAAACAGATTTCTTTAACTTTAATAGTTTTCTTTTCTCATAACCTTAGAAGAAATTAGAAATAATTTTAATGTTTTTATGTCGAATAGTAATGTCGAGTTATTCGACTATTCGCCAAAGTGAATGGCGATTAATCGGTATTCGACTATTCGCTATAACCACTATTCGCGGCAACTAATAACTAATCCATGGTTGTTTCCAGATGCATATACGACCGCAAAGTGTCCGGCCTCCCCAACCTGTCCGAGGAGCTTTCGAGCGAGGACGACGAGCACTACCACCGGCTCATAGCGCACTACGCGCACCACCTGTCCATCATCGCCGACGACTCGCTCAACTGCGGGCCCGTGCTCAACTGGCTGCAGATGGACAATAAGGGTGAGGACCTTAACGTTATTGGAATAGGAGCGATACTCGCACGGTCTACCAAGCGGAGGCAGCGATACCTCTTGGCTATCTCTGGGCGCCTGATACTTTGTGTCTAGAATAGGGGCGATATTAGACCCAGAAAGCTTCATGGATTACTCTTGGGTGTCTCTGGGCGCCTGGTACATTGACGCTCACACTCTTCTTTCCCCCTCTCTCTCTTTTTTTAATTCTATCTGTCTCTCTTTCTCCATCACACACTTATCATGGTATGTTAAGTTGTAGCTATGAAAAGGCAGAGATTACTCTTGGATAGCTCTGGGCGCCTGGTACATGACGCGCTTTGTATAAGTTGTTGATGTTTCTCTCTCTCGTTCTCTGATACTATGCCCACCACCTGTCCATCATCGCCGACGACTCGCTCAACTGCGGGCCCGTGTTGAACTGGCTGCAGATGGACAACAAAGGTGACCTTATTGTGACTGGGATAGAGTACATTATGGTCTGCTAAGTTTTGGATAATATTCGAACGCCTTACCAAGTGGTGGCAACGATACCTCTTGGATAGCTCTGGGCGCCTGGTACATTGACGCTCACACTCTTCTTTTCTCCTCTCTCTTTTTTTTAATTCTATCCGTCTCCCTCTCTTTCTCCATCACACACTTATCATGGTATGTTAAGTTGTAGCTATGAGAAGGTAGAGATTACTCTTGGATAGCCCTGGGTGCCTGGTACATTGACGTGCTGCTAGTTGGACCCTCTCCGTTCTCTCCCTCTCTTTCTTTTCCCTTTTCTCTCTCTCGTTCTCTCGTACTACGCGCACCTGTCCATCATCGCCGACTCGCTCAACTGCGGGCCCATGTTGAACTGGCCGCAGATGGATAATAAAAGTGACCTTATTGTGACTTGGATAAGGGTGATATTGGCACCCCAATTCGCACGGTTTAGCTAGAGGCAGCGGTACGGTACCTCTTGGTCAGCTCTGGCCGCCTGGTACTTTGTGTCTAGAATAGGGGCAATACTAGACCCAGAAAGCAGTTTCTTGGATTACTCTTAGGTATCTCTGGGCGCCTGGTACATTGACTCTCACACTCTTCTTTTCTCCTCTCTCTGTTTTTAAATTCTATCCGTCTCTCTCTCTTTCTCCATCACACACTTATCATGGTATGTTAAGTTGTAGCAATAGCTATGAAAAGGCAGAGATTACTCTTGGATAGCTCTGGGCGCCTGGTACATGACGCGCTTTGTATAAGTTTTTCCTCTTCCCTCACTCTCTTTTTCCATTTCTCTCTCTCGTTCTCTGATACTATGTCCACCACCTACCTGTCCATCATCGCCGACTCGCTCAACTGCGGGCCCGTGTTGGACTGGCTGCAGATGGATAATAAAGGTCTCCTTATTGTGACTGGGATAAGGGAGATATTAGCATGTAGGTATTTGGCAGACGAAGGCATTGATTGATACCTCTTGGCTACCTCAGAGCGCCTGGTACTTTAATGTCTGGAATAGGGGTGATAATGGCAGCTGGGAAGCAGCGATTTATTCTTGAGTATCTATAGACTCTCTTCTTTCCCTCTCTCTTTCCCTCTCTCTTTCTTTCTCTCTTTCTCCGTCATTCACACTATGGTCTGCTAAGCTGTGACTATGAGAAGGTAGCGATTACTCTTGGATAGCTCTGGGTGCCTGGTACATGACGCATTGCTAGTTGGACCATCTCCGCTCTCTCTCTCTCTCTCTTTCTGTCTCACTCTCCGTCGTATTGCCTTCCCAACATGACGAGCATTACCACATAGCGCACTACGCGTACCACCTCGACGACTCGCTCACTATACGGGGCTGCGGGCCCGTGCTCAATTGGCTCCAGATGCATAACAAATGTGACCCTATTGTTACTGGGATAGGGGTGATATTGGCACCCCGGTCTAGCAAGAGGCAGCGATACCTCTTGGTCAGCTCTGGGCGCCTGGTACTTTTTGTTTAGAATAGGGGCAATACTACTACCCAGAAAACAGTTTCTTGGATTACTCTTAGATGTCTCTGGACGCCTGGTACATTGAAGCTCACACTCTTCTTTTCTTCTCTCTCTTTTTTTTAAATTCTATCCGTCTCTCTTTCTCCATCACACACTTATCATGGTATGTTAAGTTGTAGCAATAGCTATGAAAAGGCAGAGATTACTCTTGGATAGCTCTGGGCGCCCGGTGCATGACGCGCTTTGTATAAGTTTTTCCTCTTCCCTCACTCTCTTTTTCCTTTTCTCTCTCTCGTTCTCAGGTACTATGCCCAAGATGGACAATAAAGGTGAGCACCTTAAGGCTTGGTATTTCTTCTAAAGTAGGTATTTCGCGCTGTCAAAATCTGCGCGCGCAATTCTTCGCCGAAAACAGCGCGTCAAAGAGCTCCCGCCACAATTTCCAGCTACACNATTTGAGAAAGTAAGTAAGGGGTGTCTATAACCGAATTAATTATTTTGTAAAGATAGACAAAGTCAAAATATTTTCGACGCAATTCAAGTTTTTGAATGCCAAATTTTTGAAGACTTGCTTCATAATCGAAACCTGGACGACCCAGACGCAGGCGATAGTTAAGCATTCGTAAACATTTCCGCTGTACCCGCTCAATTTCGTCAATATGTACCCTGTAGTGAGGAGACCAAACGGGGCTGCCGTACTCCAAGATACTCCTGACGATAGCGGAGAATAAATAAAGCAAGGACCGGGGTTTTTTAAAACCTTTAGTGGATCTGAAGACGAAACCAAGGAGTTGATTGGCTTTTGATGTTATGTGCTCATAGTGTGGTCGAAAAGATAGTTTTTCGTCAAAATAAACGCCAANAGACCAAACGGGGCTGCCGTACTCCAAGATACTCCTGACGATAGCGGAGAATAAATAAAGCAAGGACCGGGGTTTTTTAAAACCTTTAGTGGATCTGAAGACGAAACCAAGGAGTTGATTGGCTTTTGATGTTATGTGCTCATAGTGTGGTCGAAAAGATAGTTTTTCGTCAAAATACACGCCAAGGTCTCTGGCAATAGAGAATCTCGACAGGACCTGTCCGTCAATCGTGTAATCATTAACGATCCTGGAACGCTTGTTAGTGAATGTAATAATAAAACATTTGTTGATGTTGAGATCCATGTTGTTCTTCTTACACCAGTTCGAAACAGTGCTCAGATCTTTTTGTAAGTTAATGCGGTCGGCATCAGAAGAAATAGTTTTAAATATCTTGAGATCATCTGCGTACAACAAACATTCGCAAGATAGAAGCTCGATAAGGTCGTTAATAAAAACAACGAACAGAAGAGGCCCCAAGTGAGACCCTTGTGGCACCCCGGAAGTGACTAATGTTGGTAATGAGGTGAATCCCCTTAAAGCGACCAATTGGCTTCTGTTACTGAGGTAGGAAGTCATCCAGCGATACAAATTACCATGAATACCGTAAAGCGCAAGTTTTTCACAAAGCAACCCATGATTGACACTATCAAAGGCCTTCGAAAAATCCGTATAGATAGAGTCTACCTGACCGCCTGCGGCAAAGCTCTTACATAGATAGTGTTTGTATTCTAGCAGATTTGTGATAGTAGACCTACCCTTAACGAAGCCATGTTGTTTATTTGACAAGTATGGCTTGAAATGCATATATAGCTGATCATAGACCAAGGTTTCGAATAATTTTGCAAAACAAGACAAGATGCTAATTGGTCTATAGTTATCACAACGGGACTTATCACCACTTTTAAAGATGGGTATTATGTGAGCTGTTTTCCATCGCTTGGGAAAGATACCGTAGTTGAGTGACTTATTAAATATAATGCATAATGGGATGCTAAGCTCCTTACCACATAGTCTAATAAATAGCGGAGGAAGTAGGTCAGGTCCAGGACCTTTATTTATGTCGAGATTTTCAATCTTAGTCATAATGTTCTTCTCAGTGACTGTTATATACGATAATGTGTCAGCTGATTTGCCCTCAAGAGATTCTCCATTAGTGCCAGATTGGGGTGGAGAAGATGTTCCATTTTGAGTGTCCGCTCTGAAGACTGATGCAAAGTAGGTAGAGAACAGTTCACAGATACCGTATCCATCAGACGCAGAACGGTCACCAAATTTCATCTCCTGAGGTATTGTTACATTACCCTTCCTACCATTCACGAACTTCCAAAAATGTTTAATATTTTTGTTCATGGAGTCCTCAATTGAAGCGATATAATTCCTATAACACTGATTAGCCATTCTCTTAAATCTGTCACGCAATAATGAAAATGTGTCATAATCACGAGGGTTCTTGAATTTTTTGTAAAGTTTGTGAAATTTATTCTTTTCCTCGTTACATTTTATTAAGGGTTTACTATACCAAATTGGATATTTTTGAGAATCAATGGCTGAAAGTTCATCATAAAAGATGTCAGTGCACGAGTCTAAGCACAGAATACATAATAGTAGCAACAGAAATTGCACTCCTTTGTGTAGGATCAGATGCCGGCATTTTAACGGTAATAATAATAATGCAAAATATCCAACGCACATGGTGCATTCGAAATCGCACCTTACTACTACGCTCACAAGAGCGCAATTTTTTGTGTTCAGAATTGATCTACCTCGCAGCTCAAGCGTCAGGGTTGTATAAGCAAAGTAAAATAAATAAAAACTTAATTTTTTATTGTATTTACGATTGGTAAACTTTAATTTAGTGGTGTTTGTATAATCGTACCATCTCTAAAGTACCTATTAATAAACTTCAGTGTTGCGATAATTCGAAATTGGACAAACAGTTTTATAAGGTGTAGTGTCGGAAAATAGACACGGTGAAGTAAAGTTAATGTTTTTATTAGCTAAAATAATTTTTTTGCTACAGTTTTTTGTCATAAGTATTTCAAAATTATTTTAAAAGTGTAGTTTTTTATAATTATTTAAATCACTACAGTTAAGTATTACTCCTAAATATTAGGATTTTCCATTAAAGAAGAATAACAGTGCCGTTGGAACAATAAACCTTGANGATCTGAAGACGAAACCAAGGAGTTGATTGGCTTTTGATGTTATGTGCTCATAGTGTGGTCGAAAAGATAGTTTTTCGTCAAAATAAACGCCAAGGTCTCTGGCAACAGAGAATCTCGACAGGACCTGTCCGTCA